TTTTGATGCTTGTGCTTTTGTTGTCATGTTTAAGTCAGTGTTGCCTAAACCAGGATTGTGAAGATGTATACATTTGTTTCCTTCTGAGAGTGTTACAGTTTTAGGTCTTAGATCCATTTTGAGATAATTTTGTGTGTGCTGTGAGTAAAGGGCCCAACTCGGTTCTTTTGTGGGTGAATATCTGGTTGTCCACCCCTGTTTTTTGAAAAGTCCTGCACTATTGCATGGTCTTGGTATCCTTGTTGAGAACAAATTGATCATTCATTTTTATTGCTGAGGTCTTTCTTTATTACTTAGACCTCTTTCAGTGTGTTTTGTAGTTTTCAGTGAACTTTCTTGGTTAAGTTTATTCCTAAGCAATTGTGTGTGTGTGTGTGTGTGTGTGTGTGTGTGTATTTGATGCTGTTACAAATCAAATTGTTTTCTTAATTTCATTTTTGGAGTGTTCATTGATAGTGTATAGAAATATAACTCATTTTTGTATATTGATATTATATTATGCAGCTTTACTGAGTTCACTTATTAACTCTAATAGTTTTTGATGGATTCATTGGGATTTTCTGTGTGTAAGACCATGTTATTTGTGAATGGAAATAGACTTCTTTTTTTCCCTCATAGCTCAGTTGGTAAAGAATCTGGCTGCAATGCAGGGGACCCTGGTTCGATTCCTGGGTCAGGAAGATCTGCTGAGAAGGGATAGGCTACCCCCTCCAGTATTCTTGGGCTTCCCTTGTGGCTCAGCTGGTAAAGAATCCACCTGCAATGCAGGAGACCTGGGTTCACTTGGGAAGATCCCCTGGAGGAGGGAAATGCTACCCACTCCAGTATTCTGGCCCAGAGTGTTCCATGGACTGTATAGTCTATGGGGTTGCAAAGAGTTGGACACAACTGAGCAACTTTCACTTTCACTTTTTTTCCCTATCTGGATTCCTTTTCTTTCTTTTTCTTACCTAGTTACCCTGGCAGGAATTTCCATTACATTGTTAAACAAAAGTGGTGAAAATGGACATCCTTATCTAATTTTTTTATCTTAGGGAGAAGACTTTAAGTCTTTTAACTTTAAATATGATAATTGTAAGTTGTTTTTTTTTTAAAATAAATGTCATTTATTAGGTTGAGGAAGTTTCCTTCTGTTACTACTTTGTTGAGGTTTTAAAGTTATTATTTTTTAAAAATCATTGAAAGTATGTTGGATTTTTGTCCAGTGTTTCTTTTGCGTCAGTTGAGGTGATCATATAGTTTTAAAATATTTTCTTTTATTCTGTTAGTGTGGTGTATTACTTTGCTCAATTTTTGTGCTGAACTACCCTTGCATTCCTGGGATAAATCCCTCTTGGTCATGACTGCTAAATTTGAATTGCTAGTATTTTGTTGAGATTTTTACATCTGTATTCATAAGGGATATTGGTCTAGTATGTTCTTGCTTCCTTATAATCTGTTTTTTACACTGTGGCCTGAGTGACCTTTTTAAAATGTAAGTTTGAACATAGAAATAAATTTCCCCAGTTTGAAAAAAAGCTATTAGAAATGCATAGCAAACATTATACTAAAAGGCAAATGCTTAGAAACATTTTCATTAAAGGTATTGACAAAATAAAGGAACTTATTATTTTTGCTAATATTATATTGGACTTGAAGTCCTAGCCAAAGTGAAAAGCAGGAGAAGAAAATGAGAAATTAACATTGGAGCAGAAAGCATAACTGTTAGTATTTTTGAACAAGATTTATTATTGACTTAGAATATTGAAGAGAACCACATAAGTCTTTTAATATTTCATAAGTTTGCCAGAAAAAGTTTATGTAAAATAGCACTAAAAAAATAGCACTTTCCACATACTCTCAATATGTGATTAGAAAATGTAACTAATATAGAGTGATTTTTATAATTATTTAGAATACAGTTGTTTGATTTTTAAAATCAAAAGGAAAATAATGGACTGTTTTGTAAATGGTTCCAGCCAAAAATGTTTGTGCATATTAGAGAAAATAAGACTCCTATGGAGTTGAGAGCAGCAGAAATGAAAGTAGTCAATGTAAGGAGACAGTATCAGAGGATTGTTTTATTCAGAAATAGTTATTGAAAACCCTTTGGCTGATTGTTTTGGGCACATATTGTCTCATTTAAAATAACATACATATATTTCTACTCCTGGAATTTTCACGTTTAGGTATTATCTCTCTGCTGACTTTTTGCCATGGAGGATAAGGGTTTGGTCTCCTTTCACACTCCACCACATGTGTGTATCTTCTTTTTGTTCTTGTTCTAATTTGACTTTATTTCTCGGTCTAAGTGAATATTGCCATTTTTTAAAAATAGCTTTATTGTGATACAATTCATATACCTTAAAATTCTCCTGTTTAAAATATGCAATTTAATGGCTTTTAGTACATTTATAGAGATGTGCATCTATCAACACTATCAAGTACTGAACATTTCATTGCCCTAAAAAGAAACTTGACACTTTTTAGCTGTCACTGCTCAATCTCTCCATCTCCAGCAGCCCTAGGCAATCACTAATCTACCTTTTTTGTCCCTTCTGATTTGCCCGCTCTCAACATTTCTTATAAATGGAATTATATGTGCTCACTAGTCACTGACTTCTTTCACTCAGCATGTTTTCAAGGTTCATTCATGTTGCACATGTATCGATGCTTTTTTTTTTTCCTAAATATTACACTACAGGGATTTGTTATATTTTGTTTATCCACTCATCAACTGATGGATATTTGGGTTGTTTCCATGTTTTGAATATTTTGAATAATGCTGCTCTGATCATTCTGGTGTAAGCGTTTGTGTGAACATGTGTTTTCATTGTAAACTCTTTCTAAGGAAGATACTAAGTCAAAAGTTGCAAAGGCAATAATATATAAAAAGTTAAAACTTTGGTGCAAAAAAATGCCATAAACAAGTTGATTTTTAAAAGTGAGTGATAGGGAAGAGATCTGGTATATAAATAATGAATTAATATCTGTAATCTAAAAATTTATTATTTGAAATGCAAACGACAACTCTAATAAGATAGGTAGACAGTAAGGACAGTCAGTTCAGAAAACAAATGACAAATGATTATTAAACCAATTTAACTTTTGTTCCTATGATTGGGTGAAATCTGATATATAATGATATTTCCCCATATATTGTCAAAGATTTGTAATATTCAGAATAACATGAATATTATGATATTCTCAATGATTCCAGTGATTCTCAATAGTTTATTTATTGAGGTCCCCTTACTGACCTGAAATGAAATGTATAGATAATGTAAGCAGCTGACACACCTAATTAAAAAAAAGAATCCTTAAATATAATAATGAAAGCAAAAGAGATAATTTATGGTAGAATTACATTTCAGTATTTAATTTTTCTGCTGTGATCATTAAAATATAAATAAGTTAGAATTTAAGAGAAGTAAGAAAACTAGAAATCATTTTACAAAGTAAATAAAGACAAATAAAAAACAAATGATATAAGGGTATAAATAGACCAAACTTATTGTCTATGATAAGAGACTGAGGAAATAGCCTGAATTGAAAAAGGGGTAATATACCAAGATAAATTTGATACTCAGCAAAAGTGATAGTTTTACAAATGAGCTCCACTTGACTTATTTCTTTTTGACTTAAAATAATCCTCTATTGGGATGTGGAACAGGGTGGTGACAGAGTAAATTGTAAGATTCAGTTCTCATTGACACCGAGTCAAACAGAAGTTCTTTTACCAGTAATAATACTTGAAAATGCAGTGAATGTAATTAGACTTAACATACATTTTGTTTTCTTGTTTGATGGGTACCATGTAAAACAGAATTAATTAGAATTCCTGTAATTTTAGGACAAAAAGCCTGTACTCGAAAATTCTAAATATAAGTGACTTCGGGTTAAGTACATGGGACAGAGTCAGGAGAGAAACCTGGGGTGGAAATATTGAAAACTATGTAATATGGCAAATGGAGTAGTTGAAGTAGTAATCCCTAGTGGCTTAGCTGGTAAAGAGCCCGCCTGCAATGCAGGAGACCCCGGGGTTTGATCCCTGGGTCAGGAAGATCCCCTGGAGAAAGGAATGGCAACCCGTTCTTGCCTGGAGAATTCTATGGACAGAGGAGCCTGGTGGGCTACAGAGTCCACGGGGTTGCATAGAGTCGGACATGACTGACTGACTATTAAACACACACACACACACACACACACACACACACACACACACACAAAAGCAAAAAAAAGCTGATCCCATAATGCTTGCCTGTGACAAGAAATTGTTAGCTATTGTGTACTTCTATGTATACTGAAGATAATAAAACTGTATTTTAAATAGTATTTCATAATTTAGAATTTGTATCAGTAAATGTGGCCTTCCTACTTTTTAGTCTGATTAAGCTATGTAAAATTTAAAATGTGTGAAATTGTAGAATGTGGCATATTACCTTGGTGGTGCGTAAAGAGGGAGGAATTGAAGGGGACGTGCTGTTACCAAGTTCTCTAACAGGCTGAATAAAAGTGGTGAATGTTAAATATCAGATTGATTTTATAAATATGTATACCACATTTTTCAAAAATATGTTTGAAAAGGATGGTAAACATGAAAATTAGGATAACGCTCTTGAAGTGAATCTCACAGAGGTGGTAGATTCCAAAGTCCCAAGTTAACTAGCTGTGTATATATGGGAATCTGTACCCTGAATTGGAAAGACTGATGCTGAAGCTGAAACTCCAATACTTTGGCAACCTGATGCAAAGAGCTGACTCATTCGAAAAGACCCTGACGTTGGGAAAGATTGAGGGCAGGAGGAGAGGGGGACGACAGACGATGAGATGGTGGGATGGCATCACTGACTCAATGGACATGAGTTTGGGTGAACTCCGGGAGCTGGTGATGGACAGGGAGGCCTGGCGAGCTGCGGTTCATGGGGTCGCAAAGAGTTGGACACGACTGAGCGACTGAACTGAACTGTACCTTAAATACATCACTAACTCAAATGCTTTTTTGTTTCCCCCTTAACTAGGAATTGTGGTGCTTGGAATAAACAGAGCCTATGCCAAAAATTCATTGAGTAAAAATCTTATAAAAATGGTGAGTGTAAAGATTAAACTGTTTGCTTCTAAGATTATGGTACAGTGTTGACACCAACCTGAAAATGATTTTTCCTGTTTTCCTTCTTATCTTCCCTGTTTCCGTTTAGCTCTCAAAAGCTGTGGATGCTTTAAAATCTGATAAGAAAGTACGGACCATAATAGTCAGAAGCGAAGTCCCTGGGATATTCTGTGCTGGTATGTGAAAAAGACTAAATTTTTAAAACTAGTCTCATGTTTCCTTAGTAGTACCCTGTTTTCCATTATAAAGTGTTACGTGGTTTGAATTTCATTACCAACAATTCCTCTTTGTTTTTTTTACTGTTGTTACAAGGAAAAAAAAATGTTTTCTCAGAAAGAAATCTTTGCAACATGTGGAGAAGTTGTTTTGGAAGTTGAAAAAATAGTTTGAGCAATTAAAATATTGGTTTGTCGTACTTGAATGATCTTTATGAAAGACGAGCTGGGAAGGAAAAATTGTGTTTCCTACTCAAAACAGTGTGCTCTGTGTTTATAAGTTACTTAAAAAGTACTTCAGCTGACTAGCAGTAGCTACCCCAGTGTAAATGTTAAATGTAGACATATGCTTTGGAGGTGTGTGTTTGTAGTAGTGCCCACTCAAGTATGTGTCCATAAATTGTGTTTTTAAATTTGTGTCTACAGCAGTGAAGTGTTTTTTTTTTTTTTTTCTGTTTGTGCTGTGTTACCAAAAGCCAAAGATTAAGTTGCCTTGCATTTTCCATATTTGTAAGTATTTCTAAGTCATGAGATTGAATGAATCTGTTTCAGCTAGTCAAAAATATAGATGATTAAGATAAATAAATGCTGATAGTACACAGTATTACTGTATTTTATTAATAAGTAAATGAAGGTAGAAGTTGAGGGGTGAAAAAAATTTCTTCCAGTAAACATATAAATGGGATAATCTACTTGAGATAATCAAAGATTTGAGGGAACAACATATAGTATTTTATTCATTCAAGTACTTTTGAGCATTTGGAGTACTCCCAGAGCAGTGCTGGGAACATGGGCGAGTATTTTTAAACAGAATGTTTTAAGAAGAGTCTTGGTTTAGACCCATATTCTTTAGTTTGTCATTTTTAGATTTTTCAAGCTTCTAACTCTGTAGCTTCCACCTTAAAATACTGTAAAATTTTATGGTGTTTAAGAATATTCAGTGTAAATGAGTTATAGTTTTTGATATAATGCCCCGTATATAAAAGGATGAGTTTTAGCTTCAGTTTGGTGATCAAAGAGAGTAGGTTTATCATGCTCAACTGCCTGAGTGAGGACAATTTGCTGTAGTTTCTGCTGCTTCTACATATGTCCAGCTTGAGTAATGCTATCCTCCTGGTGTTGTCAGAGGCTTGATGTGACAGTGTACATAACACACAGTGTTATGGGTCAAAATATTGTGTAACTGTTAATAGTTTTTATAAAGACTAAAATTTATTAAAATTGTTTTCATAATATGAAAAACTTACACCCAGTGCATTAGAATTCTTTTATCTGTGACCTTGGGATCTGGCAGCGATGTTTCCAGGTGACTGAATCCAACATCGTGACTGATGGCTCTGAGGTCACTACACCCAGGTCCTTTGAGGGCTGCTGAGGGGCTTATTGGGAAGATCCTGAGCAGTTTGGGGGCTTTTCAGGAAAGCCTAGTTATATGACTCTTGGGGCATGATAGTGGTAGTGGCAGAACAACACTTCAGAAAGAAGGGTTGATCATACCTCGAATTACTTTCTTTCTGTTGGTGATGGGATTTGTATTTATAACACTATAATTACTGGTAGAATTCTTTTTATCTATTCCTTTGCTGTCCATTTGTTTTGTGTCTCCACATTATCAGTATTTGGAAAAAGCTTTAGTGCTTTCATACAGTTTACAGCTATCTTCTATAGATTTCTGTTTTGGGGGAATGTACTAAGTAATATATCAAATGCTCTACCAGATTAACATATTAACCTTGAATACTTTTTCCCAAGGGTTTATTAAATCTACTTTCTTTGTTCTGTGTGCTTTTGCATGATCAGGATAGTTTTTCCTGTATTTTAACTCATAAGACTTGTTACTGTATTTTGTCCAAAAAAAGTTTGAATTATAGAAAAATTAGGGCAAATTGTTTTATTAACAGTATATATAATAAAACCATTCTTCCAAATTTCTTTGAAAGGTTTTCTTTTCTTACATATATTTGAAACAGGCAGTTTAGTAGGTCTGTCTTTATTACTGTGTACGCATTAAGTGTATTGTAAATTTAGATACACAAAAGCTCTTTACATACCTAAAAAGAATATTTAAGCTTATAGCCTATGAAAATAGTAGTATAAAAATATTAATATTAATCAGACCTCATTTATTCATTCTTGTTGAAGAATACAGTCTTTCACATAATTAGAGTGTTAACTTTTATTCTGAAGTAGTCATCTTCAAAAGAAAAATCCTCACAAGTAGTGTACTCATTTATTGGTTATTCTCTTAGCTCCCCATTCCCTAAAGTTACTCATTTTACCTCTTCCCTTTCTGCCCCCACAAAGGTTTCTCTTCTCTGTACATCTGTGTTCTAGTGGCATTTTGTTCATTTCCAGAAACTTAAAGCTTATGAAGTGATCTTGCTTCAAATTTCTTGAGGATGGTAACTTCTCTTTTTCTTCCTTGAAAATCTTCTTATATATTCTCACATCACAGTACATAATAGAGACTCACCATGTACTTGCTGAATTTAATCAGCCTTTTGGAGAAGTAAATGGCAGCCCATTCCAGGATTCTTGCTTGGAGAATCCCATGGACAGAGGAGCCTGGCAGGCCACAGTCCATGGGGTTGCAAGAGTCAGACATGACTTAGTGATTAAACCACCACCACCACCAATTAGCCTTTAAAGTGTGCTGTGATTCACTGATTTTTTTTTTTTCCCCAAGGATTATTGGGTTTTGAGCAGTTTCTCTGAAATTATCTCAGACTTCTCTCCTATTCACTGACAGTATCTCTGGCTCTTGCCTTTGGTTCTTTTTTCTGTGTCCTTTTCCTAATATACTAGAGGAACAGGTAATTAAGCATTATTAAAGTGATTCTGGTGGTTTGGGGGAGAATGGATACATGTATATATATGGGCGAGTCCCTTCCTTGTCCACCTGAAACTACCACAACTTTGTTAATTGGCTATACCCCAATATAAAATAAAAAAGTTTAGATATTAAAAGAAAAAAGTGATTCCTACATGCACTGGAGGTTGCACTGATTGATTTCTGACTTTTCATTTAAATATGTTATTTAGAAGCAAAAATTATATTTTACTTGCCTTAACATTTTTAAAGGAAATTTTAGTTTAAATAATAAGTAGTGTGTCAAATGTATGAAATGTGTACAAAATGTTTGAAAAAGTATACAGAGAAACCCCATTCTTACCCATTCCATTCTTTTCCTAATAAAAATAGCAATTTTAATTTTCTTTTTTATCCTTCTAGTTTTCATTATACAGATATATACAAATATACAGACATATACACATGCACACAGTAGAATGTTAAGGAACAATTTAGAATGATAGTATGAAGACTGTGTTATAGTGTGAAAAATACATGTTATAAGAGATAGCGACGTGTAAAAATGATATTCCCATTATGACTGCACCTGTGTAAACTGTGTCTGCAGATGTGGTTCAGCTTTCTGTAATAAGTATATTAAGTTGTATTAAGTGAATATACACAAAGAAAATAATTTTGAAAAAATTAGCAAATGTATTTAGTGTATTTTCTAGTTTTGGTAACTAAAATCATAACATTAATTGAATTTCTGAATGATTGTTGCAACATTTGAGAGGAAAAATTTCAGAGTGTAAAAACCTTATGTCACAGTTCAGATGCTTTCATTTAATATAACCTCTGTGAACCTAAGTGCCTGTTTAAAGGTGGTGGCTTTGCTGGAATTACTTCTGACTCCTAGGGTAGGGTTTTTACTGAATCAGTGATTTTTAATCTTTTGGGGTATGAGGTCTCTAAGTTCTTAAAATTTCTTGCACTTACACAGTCACCTATGGTGACTGAGAATATGTATAATGTCATAATGGCATTCTGATCACAGTAATATAGTTAAATGAATTTTCTCTGATTAGCCGCAATGAAATCTAGAGCACAAAAATGTATATCATAGCCATTATGACTGTAAATGGTTTTTACACATGCTTTCAGATATTATGCCATATCTGCAGCATGACTCTAGGTTGGGAATCAGTGTTACGTTTTCTTTCTTGTGGATTTGAGCATTGCTTCTGGGTTTATGACTTGCATATATTTTTCTTAGAATACTGAGAAATACCATTTTGATAGTTAGAGTTCATTGTGAAGTACTGACTGATTTTATCTTGTTTCTTACATGCACAGAAACATGCATACCAAAAAAACTGAAATAATTTTTACTGTTTCATAATGTTTGAGTCAAAATTTTAACATTGTAATGAAATTATGAGAAAGACCTTTTAACTAGGCTATTGTATTGGATGTAAATGTTTACTCCTACTCATCTGTTCATTTTCTTGTTCTTTTAGTGTTCTAACACTAGGTAGCAAAGTATGTATGTATTGTTTTTATCATAAAAATTTTATGAGAAATTACTGAATCTGAGGATTTTTTTTTGTCTTGAAATTCCTGAAATAGATTATAAGCAATTCTTGGTAATTGATTCCTGTATGTAGAACTCTAAATTGAGTGATTCACTGAATTATATGACTATGGTTTTTTTTTTTTTAAGTAAAGGTACTTTTGCTTCTGCTTTTGAGTTCTAGTAAATTAGTTCTGACTAAAAACTTGTCGCTAAAATTGTCAGCATGCTTTATTGAGTGATGTATTGTTCAAGTGGATGTAGATGTCCTGACAGTTAAATATGTGGAGTCCTCTGACTAATGAAGTTATCTATTCAGTATTGTTTAGAATCTCAAGTTAAGTTATATTTGTTAATTTAAATGTTAGTGCCTTAGAGAGTTTGATAAGTAAAGTGAAAGGATACAAATTTGTATTAATTCCGGGTAGGGTTCTTTTTTGGAAGTAAAAAACCTGTGTTATAGACGTAGGCATTACTTGCAATAAAATGTACCTGTTTTAAGTACACATGTCAGTTTTGATAGGTGTTTAAACCGTGAAGACAGTTGTGGTGTACAACATAAAGCTTTCTTTTCTCATTTTTAATTGAAGTGTGACT